AGATACATGCAAAGGACACACTGAAAGCTTGAGTGCATTAGATTCATGCTGCAGAACAGCCCTGCATTTGTGTGTAGCTTCTCATGCATGTTCCTCTTTCAGCTATGACTTGCAGAACTTGGCTTTTCTTTGCTTCTATTTATTTTTTTTCAGCCCTGGCTGTATAGTCAGATTCTTTTCTCAATAAGAGAAGGAGGAAGGTGGCATGTACAGGGAAGAGCTGAACAGAAGTCATCATGTGTTCTTGTTTCACCAGCTTAAAATTGGCTTCTGGTGGCACTGTGCAATCTCAGCACTCATTGACAGCAGAACTTGCCCTGTGAGCTCAACACCTTCTCCCACGCAACCAAGAAGTCCAGCTGTGGTCTATTCCAGCCTTGAGAGTGATGGAGGCTGTCAGACTTATCCTGCAGCCAGAGAAAAGATGGAGCCAGATCCTTTGAAAGAACCTGGTGAGAGTCCAAGGAAAAAAGGGTGTTGAGGGGCTTTGCTGAACTGTGATTCTGCATTCATCTAGCTCTCACATCTTAAAGGAGTGAACACTGCAGAGCTACTGGTATCCTTGACAAGATCTTATCTCTTGTCCCACTTGAGACTAGTAGAAAACTGTAAAGGAAATGCCCCCAAAGTCAAAAGGACAAGGACAAAGGTGTTTAGCCAGCAAGATTCCAAGCCATCATATGAGGTGATAGATCTTAGGACATTGTAATATTATTGGTTTGGCACTGTACTGATCTCCTAAAAATAAGTTGTGTACCCTTTGACAGCACCAGCTTCTGGAGACCCCAGCAGGCTTCAGGAAACCCAACCAACCTCTTATAACACCTCTGACATGGAAATAACTGCATTTTCAATGCAAGGGAAAAGTCAAGGGGCATGTGTGGGGAAGACTCGCCTATGATAGCCAGCAAATCAGGAGCATCTCTGGGAACCAAAGACTGGGATTCCCGACTTGAGGTGAGCTCTTCTAAGCACAAGACTCCCCTCCCTTCAGGCCCCAATTTCCTAAATCCCACCTCTGCTTCCCAAAGGATGAGGTGAAGAGCAAACTCCTCCTCTAGACTCTTCAGAAACACAGATAGGCACAGCACTGCCTCACAGCAGTGAGGCTGGCTGAAGCCTCTGTTCACTTCAGGGGATGTTCATGAGGATGAAGATGCCATGCCCTGGCTCTGAGAGCAGCTAGCACCCTGTATTTCCAAGGAATACACAAGAAAGCTGCAGCAGCAGTTGTTGTGAGCTAATCTGTTTCCTCCCCCTAGGGCTCAACTTGGTCTCTCATTACTACAGATCAGCTCAAGGCCTGACGCAGGAGCCCTGCTTTCCCTCACAGGACATCAGCAGTCACTGGGATAACAGGAGAGCCACGGACCTTACCAGTGTCCCCTGCTTGTTTAAGGTACCTGTACAATACACTTCCCCAGCTGTTCTGCAAGGACTGCAGGTGTCACAACCCAGCACTCTTCAGGGCCAACTCAAAGCTGTTTTGGCAGACAGATTGAGGTATTATGGCTCAACTACAAATGTGCATCTTGCTGAAGCTTAAAAAGGAAACTTACTGGCACCTCTCAAGAAAAATGCAGACCCACCTTAGGCAGAGCATATGCCACAAGAAAGGCAGAAGCTTTCTGCAAATCTTGACTGAGCAGAGCAGAACAAAGCTCTGGTTCTTCAAGCTTGTCTGCCCTGAGCTGTCCCTTCACTCTGAAGTTACAGTGGGTAAAACCCCCCACTCCCTGTACTTCAGTGCTGTACAGCTACATCACAATCACTCTGCATACAGGAAATCTTTACAGACATGAGTGTAAAAACAGTAGTGGTTTGGGATCCTTACCATTGTAGTCCTAAGTTTCTGGCTTCACTGGACATCCTGATGGTGTAAAGCTGTGTCTCAGCACACACCTCTACAATACAGTAACAGCCTCTGATGCTTTTTCTGCATCTGCAGAACAATCTGAACATTTCACATTTCACAGCTGGGAAGTGTTTGTAGTTCCTAGTACCTAGTACATATGCCTCAGAAGCTGTAGCTGTAGCCTGCCTGCCTGCCCATCAATTCCCCCACAGGCCAACGGTTTTCAGGGCTCTTGGGACACTAATAAACCTTAGTGGTTCTAACCAGCCGCCCCTGGAGCCTCCACCACTCCTACCCATAGGCCCAGTGGCTCTGTTTAAGAGCAGCCTGGGGCTCTTGTCTTCCATTAAGTGTTATAGGAGCACTGGTCTCCAGCTTAGCCTAGCTAAGCTGTTCTTATGTTAGGCACTGTTGATTTGGACCCTCCCCTGTAGATTGGTGTCCTAGGTGGAGCTCAGCCCTGCCCCATCATCATGACCCTGCCTATTGATCATGAGGCTGGGCCTGACTCAATTGCCCCTATTGGGCAGGTATTGAATGACTGGTTTGTGTCTGGGGAGGCCCTGCCCTTTCAGAGGCAGTCACCCTTGCTATACCCTGACACAGCTGGCATGTTTTACCTTTTCTTCCCCACCTTGCTTGCACTCCTCTAACTGTTGAGACAGCAAAATCAGGGCTGCACTGAACTCAAGAGCTAAAGAGGGTTGTCAGAATAAGCACCCCACCACACTTGCTGTGGTAGTGAGTCAGGAAACTGGTTTTCAGGCTGCAAGATCCAAGAGCTGTTCATTGTTTCCCAGGGCAATGCTGACCCTGAGAGCTGCACCTGAAAAAAAAGTCAGTACAGCCTGAGAGGCAGCAGTCCTCCAGCCCTGGCACGGTGAATGCTGTCCTGCAAGCAGGCTGAAGTGAGCTGGATTAAGCGTGATTCCTCAGTGGTGCAGTGAGTGTCTCAGTGAAGATGGCCCTGCACTAACCAAACCTTGAGGCTCTGCCTTGGCACCAGGTCTTAAAGGTAGGAGAGTCTTCTCCTTCTGTATGTGCAGCACAAGCCAGGAAAGGGTTGGGATACCATGAAGGTGAAACAAATACAAGCATGTCTCACTTCTGCCTCTAAAATAACAGTGCCTCCCAACTTCATTGTGGTATCAAGAATCTGCCTGGGCTGACTCTCTGCCTGCCTCTGAGCCCTGCTACCAGCAGGCTCCTGCGGAAGTGACTCAGCCAGCCCAGCTGGATCAGATGAAATGAAAAAAATAAACAGAGGTAAGTGTGGGAGCAGAGCAGGTCCCACTTGCCACACATATTGCTCAGGAAGGATAACAAGCAATCCACAGCACAGTTCCTTCAAGCAAGGACTCAACAAAAGCTGGAGGCTCCCAGCCAGGTCTGTTTTGGTGCAGAAAGCCTTCAGCAAAGGTCAGATGTAACTGAACATTGCAATCCCTCGCTCGCTGGTGCTCCCTCACCTTGTCCACAGACCAAGACCACTATTTCAAAACCCTTCCTTGTAGCCAGCTTCAGTCACAGGCATTCACTTAGAGGGGGAATATTAAGGGACTGCCAGCTGGCACATTTCTCATCAGGAACTTAAGAACAGAGTGCCCCCACTCCAGGGGAAGGAAGAACTGTCCCAGGACATGGCCGGGGGCACTCTTAACTCCCATATAAAATTTAAAATCCCTGCATTGGTTGTCCTTCTGCAAGTGAGAAAGGTACTGTGCTAACTCGGGGAGCCACATATCCGGGGTAGACAGCGTGGGTAGCTTCCCCCAGAGGACAGGCACTGGGGAGAGAAAACCTTTCTGCAAACCAGCTTCTGCCTTGTGAGGGAATGAGCAGAATAAGTTGCATAGACAGGTTATTGCTTTCCAGGGAACTCGGGACCGGGTGTTTGGGACTCGTTCACTGTATGTGGGCCCTGCTCTTTTGCCAGGTGGATTTTTTTATAGTGCCTATGCCAGCAGTGATCAGAAGCTTGATGCTGCACAAGGCGGCGGGGCTCAGATCCGAGCCAGAGATGGGGTCACCTGCCCAGGGCCATGTAGGGGCTGTGGTGTGCGAGTGCCGCACCAGCGGGGGGTGCCCGCTCCGCAAGCGGCAGCGGGGAGGGAGGAGCAGCGTCTGTTTCTGCGGAGTCGTTATGGCAACCGCGCGGGCAGGAGCCCGGGCCCGTTCCCCTCGGGGGCTGCGGGCGAGGGCCGGACCCCGCTCGCTCGCCAGGGCTGCAGGGGCGGGCGGGGCACCGGCGGGGAGCGAGGCGGGGGGCGTAGGCTGGCAAAGCGGGAGGATGTGGGCTGGGGGGGGCGGGCCGCGGGCGGCCCGGGGGGGGGGGTAGCCCGGTACCGACGGGGGAGCGGGGCCAGCGGCTGCCGGTCGGGGGTGCCGTGAGGACGGTAAGCCCCAGGCACCGACCTTTCCCCGGGGGTCCTGCCGCTCCTGCGGGCGGGCGAGGGGTGGCATAGCCCGCTGGGAGAGCAGAGAGCCGGGAGGGTGGCCGGGAGGGTCTGGCGGGGGCGGGGGGGTCTGGCGGGAGCGGGGTCGTCGCTCACCGGCAGCGGCGGGTCCGGCGGGTCCCGGCTCCGCGTGGTGCTGAACGGACAGCGCCGCCGCAATGCGCATGCGCGTCCACCTGCCCGGCGGGGCTGGGGCGTGCGCTGGGACCGGGACCGGGGACCGGGGACAGCCGGTGTGCACCGGGAACAGCGGCCGTGGGGAACGGGG